CTTTTTTTATAACTTCGAGGCAGTTAGATCTGTTTATGTTGTCTCCACCTTCTTGGAAGCCTCTGTTATATAACTACAAACGTTTTCCACAATATTTAGACAAAAGGCAAAAAGGGGCACAGATCTGTACAAATGTTACTTGCCCAACTGCTTCCTACAAAGCACAGGATGCTGTTGCAAAAATATAATAAGCAAGAAGCAATACCACATTGCTTGCATCATAGCACAGTAGATTGAAGCAAAAAAAAAAAAAAGCACTGGCAAGGATCCAAAGATGAGAGAGAAGCCAGTAAATAGATGTACGTACTTGTTAGTTATAGTTGAACACATTGTGACAACACGTTCTTAGCATAAACTATATGCCTTTATAAGCATAAACTATATGCCTTTATAAGGCATATAAAGCATAAACTATATGCCTTTATAAGGCCACAAAGAAGGAAATCACATTATGGGTTAGCATGTTGTGTGAGCCAATAACAGATTTATACATCACTGATTATGGGCTAGTATGTTATGTAAATGGAACCAAGCCCCTGTGTCTTATCCAGTAAACCACCATGAAACCAAAAGACCAATGTTGAATAAAGAATCAAGAAACAACTTCCAACTCCAGCCCCTTTTGTGTCGGTGTGCAACATTACAATGAACATACAAAAGGGGTGAGGGTGGGGGCTTGCATTGTGATGCTTTTAGTGTTCCAACCCCTTAGCCTCCCCCTGCGGATGCTGCTGGGCCATAGGTTAAATTATAGTTAACCTGTACCTCCGGTTTGCAATTGGTTTATTTATCTAAACTGTGATGCCACGTATCTGAACCTCAAGGTTGTGGATGGATTCATCTGGGGTTAACTTTTCTTTCTGGCCTTCAAGCAGAAATGGCTAAGCTGAGAATCTGCATATGATTGTAGCAGGATATAAATATGATAAACAAATAAATGGGCATCAGAAGAGCTGCAAAACAGGGTCACTCCGGCTATGATCTCTGCTGCTCCAAATTCAACCTTTTTCTACTCTATGTGCAAAAAGTCTGATTGGCCACAACATGTAGTCATAATTATGGTAGTAGTAATAGTAGTAATTATAAATAGTGTTGCTTGGATAATCAGGAGAAATAGCAACTGACAAATTGTGGCATACATACAGGTGAAACTCGAAAAATTAGAATATCATGCAGATGTTCATTTATGTCAGTAAGGCAACTCAAAAGGTGAAACCAATATATGAGATAGA